TTTTTTTCCACTTCCCTAGCCTTTGATAGGTTCCGGTGGCCGGTGTTGCCTTGCTTTTAATGGAATTTAATTAACTGCGAGTTTAAAAAAATCGCTTTGTGAAAGGCATAAGACTGCTCTGACAAAAGGGATACTGTATGGAATGGTCACCTCGACTTCAACCCCTAAGTCAGTAGGTCTTGGAGCCTTCTCAGTGCCTCCTTTAACGCTAGACGAGCCCGTGTGCACGCTTTGCGTGCGTATCGTGCGCGCTTACCCGTACACTTATACACGCATATAAGCACCCGGAGCAAGCTAGCGAGGCGGCGGCGGCGATGTCGGCGGTAGAGAATTGCGCGTTCGGGTGAGTGTGTTAGTGTGCGTATGTGTGCGTGCCAGAGGGAGGACCGTGTTTGCGCGCGCACCTCCCTATCGATCCACGTTCTGCTCGCTTCTGCACACATGTGCGTGCGTTTGCGTGCCTACGTGCGACTGCTGGCGTGTGTGTGTGTGTGTGCTTGGTGCGGTGCGTATTTATTTTTCGTGAGAGAGAGCGAGCGAGCGAGCGAGCAATAGCCTCCTCATCTTGCGCAATCCTCTGAACGCATCTATTCACACCGCTGCTTCATTACTACTGTTTCAGCGAATTGGCGGAACTGTCACTACCGCCTTTTTTAGATCAAACTACCACAACCGATAAAGGCGGTGAGTGCGTGCACTCATGCTTTCTCACGCTCCTCCTACACTTTAGCGTTAGAACAAGCAAACCAGTCTGCGAGCAAGTGAAGGCTGACTGGCCATCCAGCTATCCACCGCGATTGCCAATTCAGCGTTAATGCGAGAGTTGGGCGTTGAGTGAATGAGTTAGTGAGCGTGTGTGTGCGTGTGTACGTGCGTTCGCCTTCGCGTTTCGTGGCCTCGCTCGCTCGCTCGCCCTCTATCTCTCTCTCTCTCTCCCTATCTCCTGCGTCTCTGTGTGTCCCCACGCAACGACTTCTAAGCGCAAGGACATGCCTGCGTGGTGCGTACGTGTGTGCGCGCGTCCTTTGCGTCGATAACGCAATGCGCAGTGCGAGGCCAGCCAGGTGGTTTGCGTGCGCAAGACGTGATGCACTTGTGCACGCGTGCACGTACGCACGCGAACACATAGTGTGTGTGTGCGTACGTGCACGCGTGCGTTGTGTGCTGGCTTGGCCTGCCGCTGCTACTTTTCGTGCAATTGTTTTCGTATTTGCGTGATGTGCGTGCACGCGAACATACGATGTGCAAAATACACACACACACACACACACACTTGCCTTTACGCAAAGGTGTGCGTGATGTGCTTTTGTATGTGCGGATGCGTGTGTGTATGTGTGTGCGTGCGTATGTTGCCTCCTGTAGTTTATGTGCGTGTGTGTGTGTGTGTGCTGGGTCGAGAAGTGATTTAAGCATCCTTATTTCTCTTAATCCACATTGATAAATGTTTTCCTTGCTATGTCTTCCTACCTCTTCTGACCACTGGCATCTTTTCGAGTTTTACCTTTTTTTCTTTCTGCCAGTGAGATGTAAATCAGCTTATCATTTCGGATGGTATGATAGGCAGCTAATTGTAGGCAAGACTTAACCAATTACTCGGAAAGTTCTTAATTTTCCCAAGTCTTGACCCTGAGCTACTCCTATGAATGAGCAACGCTTATGGAGGCGTAACTTGTCAGCTGCTGCAGCTAATTTCTTCGTCACATCATGGCAGTCCTGATTGGTTAATGGTCTTATGGTGTTTTCTCACGATATTCAATAAAGGCTTTTACGGGTTCTCCCTTGTCAACATCCTCACGACATTTCCCTCGAATTAAGATTAGGCTTTGCACTGTGAAGGTGTTTCCTTCGATTTCTCCACTTGTTGGGCAAATCTAGCTGGACATTTTTAACTCCGAAGACAACAAGCGTAATGGGTTCATAGCAATTTGCAAATGTCTACTAAAATCATGCGTAATGAGTTTTATTTGTCAGATCATAAATCTGTCAGTTGTGGGGCTTTCAATCTCCAAGCCTGCCCTCCTGCAAACAGCAATTTTGCGAAGTCCGCCATCCCCCCTCCTGACAGCGAAGACGAGGGACTGATAGGTGTCAGTCTCTATTTTTAACCTACCTCCTCTCCCTCCTTTCAGCCACAAAACCGAGGAAACAGTTTGCTTGCGATCAGTGTGACAAGGTATATCCCCGCAATCAGAGTCTGCAGGCGCACATCATTCAGGTTCACTCGGGTGAGTGGCTCTTAATGCCTTATCACGTGCCCTCCACTTGGCGCTTGCGTGCACGTACTTATGCATGTGGGTGTTCTCTTCTGCACTCATTCTGTAGATGTGAGACCCTATACCTGTCGAATCTGCCGCAAGGGTTTCGTGCGTAGGTGGGATTTCTACCGCCATCTGAATGCCGTCCACAGGGGTGAGTTCATAACTCACTGCTGATACTATTTCTCACTATCCCGGGGAAAGTAGTGATTTTTTTCAAACTTTTAAACAGGTTTGCACTCAGTGCTAGATGTTTGGCGGATTCTACCATCACTTGTTGGATGTTTGGGCCATTTAAGAAAGACATCTGTTTCACCATATTTTAGAATAAAAATTATCAATTGTTTTACTACCGATAAATTGAAAGTAGCGTTTTTATTATTCTTTAATAATTAGTTAGTCTGTAGACGTAGTCCGTAGCCATCTGCTTCAAGCTCAAGCTGCAAGTTTTATTTGAACAAACGCCATATTACTTGGTTGACGTTGTCAAATATAACATTCTGACACATTGCATTAGATACTAGGGTGCATAAAATGGCTGATTATCTTTAATCAGTCGGAAAGGGCGGTGGTGGTGTGCTTTGTCTTTGTCCTGAGACCTCCCAACACCTTCAGAATTAAGCTGGTTGAACAATCAAGGTAGTACACCTGTAGAAAGTAATACTTGACTTGTTCAAGATGTTGATAAGTCAAAATTTTAAACTTTTTGAGTGAATAGTTGGTGAACTTTCTGGGTCTCTCAAGTCGCTGTTCTGAACTCAAACAGTAAGATTTATGTAAAATAAAAACTTTGATATTGTTACGACCTTTGCTTTGAGTTCTTTATTTCGCTTTCAATTTCTAAAATGGTCATTTTAGAGTAGAGTTGATAGATTGTTTGGGCTCCCTCTCTCTCGAGAGAGACTTTTTCATTAGCTGGAAAGCCGTATAATTTAAAATTATTTAGTAAACGATAGTGTGCCTTCAACCGTATCACGTTTCGGTCACTTTTCATTGAATCCCCTTTGCTCTCTCTGACCCACCGGCGTGTTGTGCCAGGTTACTGTAACTGTCAAAGTCTCTAGCATCCTTTGTTGTAGGCATATAGAAGGGCATAGTTGACGTGCCAGATGTCGCCCTCAACGGTTTTAGTCACCACCTCTATCAGTCTTACATTACTCGTATTTATGTGAATCGGTTTTCATGGCATGGTTTTCTCCGTTAAAATGCTTACGCTTGTTGATCAAGCTTGGTTTTTTAGTGATGCAGTCTTAGTGCGAGACTCTCTCATCAGAATTCTTGAATAAGACTTACTTTACAAGTCGTCTTTGGCTTTTAGTTATCGTGATTTTCCTTTCATGGTGCCTCTTTAGTAACAGCCCATGTGTGATTGGTGCTTTTTCCAAACATTGGCGCGATTTTTTGGCAGCTCGGCTACAACTTTTAGGATAGGCAAGAAATTGAATGACCGATTAACTGCATCTGCTTGCAGATCGTGCCAGAGAGGCGCTAGATGCAGACAAGGTAGAGGAATACGTAACGTGGATGCGTAGTCGAGCCCCTGCTGACATTTCATGGGAGTGTTTGAATGCGGTGCGTGAGGAATTCCCAACTGGCGCGGGTTCGTCCGCAGTAGCCGGCTCAGCCGCTGGTGGCGGAGGTGGCGTGAGTGGTGCTGGTGCTGCTGCTCCTGTCGTCAACACCACTGCTGCTACTGCTAATCCTGGCGGTACTCCCAAAGCCTCCTCTCCAGCACCTGCACCTCCTACTCAATCCTCGACTCCGTCAGCCACCGCCTCCTCTACCTCCACTACCTCCAACTCCGGCGTCACCGTGACCATGATCAAGCCTGCTAATGAATAACCATTGCACACTATTTTTCTCTGCCTTGGCTACACTTTGTCTCTCTGTGTCTGTGTCAGTACGTCTGTTTAGTTGTTTTCTCTGTGGGTGTAATCTCTTGAGTGTGGTACGTGTGAGCACGTGATTGGAGGTGCCTCTTTCGCCCCTCTACCCCGTGTACAGACACGCTGTGATGCAGTACTGGGTGTCATCAAACGCACGCATGCACGGGCACGCACCAACATATTCACGCTTTCCAATTCCTGACGTATCCTTTACTTCAAGGTTTCCCACTTCCTACCACATGAAACCATTTTTCGCGGTGTAAATACACTCATTTATTATTACTACCACAACTAATATTGCTGCGATAATCGCCATGCGTATTCCAAAAAAAAAGTGTCAAACTTTCAAAGTTGTGGTGGTGAGGGAGATTGGCGTTGTGAGGGTTGATTTTTGAAGTCTTCTTTGTTTGAGACGTGCGTGGATCTGGAGCACGACTTGTGATTCAATTTTAAATATGACTGATCAGTAACCCGTTTAATTGATGTAAAAGTACGGTGATTGTTTGACGGTGTGGTAGTTGAGCTTCTGAAACCTGGTTGGATTGTCTCTGTTGCGGATTCTAATTCGATGAACATTTATTATCCGAGGTAATCGGATTTTCGGTGGAGATGGCTTGTGCTGTGCGTCTTTTGGACTCCCATTGGTGCAACGCCGTGTGGACTTTGTCAGTCAAGCGTCTTTTTACTGGTAATTGCTTAGTAGAGGGGCTTCACTGTTCTTATGAGCGTTCAACACCTCAAAAGACGAATTGTTTAGAATATTGCATTATGGAAGTAATGCATAAGCGGTTTTAGTGTGACGCCACGGTGGTGGATGTTGCTGCGTCTTGGATGCCGCGTCGCAGCCCTACAACGCCCATGTCGTGGGCTTATAGTATTTACATCTAAGAGAATGTTCTATCCACTTGCAAAGTAAGTCCCTTGTTGGGTCTCCAAATCTTCGTTTTATTGGTCCTCCACCCAAGCCTCGAGGGCGTCTGAATCTGGTCAATCAAACGGATCTACTCATGTCGTGACTAGACGCGGTATCAGCGTTGGGAAGGCGGTTCTGAATGTCAATAACTCATACATTTCATACAGCTGCTGTCCACAGTTGTCCATACCAAGTAAAGCTAGATGAATGACTTTGAAGGACGAGAATACTTGGAGGTGGTTTACAAAACAAATGAATATAAGTATCAAGGGAGAATACAATGAAGCTGAACAGCTGTGATTTTACTAATCAAGAGAATGGATCTTGGCATCCAGTATTTGATTCGCTCCCTTAAATATCTCACTTCCTGAACAATACCAAAAGGCAGTTTAGTTCACCATAACAAAACATCATAAAGGTTCCGTTCGGATTTGCAGAATCTCACCTTGCAAAGGTTGGCATTTTGACTCAGTGGTATGTGTTAACTGTAAGTAGCTAAGACCTTTATCAACATTAGTAGTAATTTCGCGCGACAACATTGAACTTGGTAATGCTCGAATAGGTGACCACAGAGGTCACCCATTACTTACCAGTTATGAATTTAGCGGCTGAGCCGAAAAATACACTTTACTTACAAAAAAGTAGTAGCAACACAAATTCGGAAAAGTAGCATATTGCACTCACATGTTTGGTCACATGCAAGCGTCCTAATCACAAGTCCGAGTCGTTTGAACTTATCGATCGTCTTCCATCTTCAGGGGAATTACGGGCATTGCTTTTTAGCGAATTGCATGGAAGCTGCGGCACCTTCAGCCTTGACGTTGAGTCATCCTAAGGTCTGCGTTACAAGAACCCAGATAATGAACAAATCTAAGTCTGCGACAGATCCGATTGGTGAGTTGAGTCACGTTGTTGTGCGTTCCCTTTCCGTGTCGGAACCATTAGATATTGAACTTAGACGGCATCAACGAAAGCTAGAGCACACTGAGCACACACTCAAACGTCACGATTCACCGAGTGTTATAGCGAGCTCCTTCCAAGAGACGTTTAATGGTAGGAAGGGGTGGTATGAGTTTGCACAACGGAAATCTCGAGGACGTTCAAAACGCCGATTCTATGAGCCTTCTGTAGAACGTTTTCCTCCAGCCAGTATTACCAAGTCTAGATTGAGAGTTGTCCAAGAAATGCCCTTCTGGAGGTTAGACGCTAACAGATTCCGCAGAACAGTGAGCTCGTTTGAGACTAGAGAAAGAAGGGATGCCAGATGGCGCCAGTCTGCACTTCAAAGCATGCCATTCGCTCATTATCCATGGAAGAAGATTCACAAGCTGTTTGATGAACCCGACCCCTCAAAAATTGCCCGCAGACGACTTAAGTATGCTGCGAAACGGAAATTCATGCAGATGCAAATAGATCGACAACAACGAAAAGTGTCTCAAGAGATTTCTCCAACAAATCCAAAAATTAAGTTGCGTCAACGTCCCCACTCAACGTTGGAAAAGACAACAGCATTCATCGAGGGCGGAGTAGAAGTCATAGCCGATACCAATCCGCTGGAGGACAGAGATCCAAGCCCTTCACTCATCTCTACACCAGAGACACCACTTGCGGCAAAACCACCCATAGCATCAAGACCCAATCCAACCACCAAATCATCCACCTCGACAATGTCTGGAACCGCACCCAATTCCATTCGAACACGAGTTGGTGGATCGGACTGTCGGAGTTGTGAACGCAAAGCCTATCGTGCAGAAAGTGTTGAAGCTCTGGGCCAAGTGTTTCACACCTCCTGCTTTCGATGTGCCAAATGCTCTCGTGTCCTCCAACGCAGCAATTGGAATCACAAGGAGGGCAAATTCTACTGCAATCCCTGTCATCGCAAATTAACTTTGCTAACATTCCGTCACTAGTAGTGAATTTTTAGAAGAAGAACAACAACTATTTCACTTTGACTTAATCACTTTTTAGTTCTAATATTCGTTTCGCTTTTTGTCTCTTTGCAAGTTGGTACTTTAGTTTCTCCCTCCACACGCATCACTTTACAATCATTTTGACTAGGCTAACATCTTTTTTTCCACCATCAATATAAAAACAAATGCAACAATAAAAGAACTTGATTAGATAGTAAATGTTTTACCTACGATGTATTTAGAGAAACCCTTAACCACATGTTTACTTTGAGACAAATAAATAAGGAAGGGTTGACTTAAGTTGTTAATATGCTACGCCGCAAATGTGGACACACCGCAGTCCGTAGAAATGCCAGAAAGGTGGAGGAGGAAGTGCAGCGACTTCACTAGAAGGAGACCTGAGGCAGTGTGGGTGCCGTTAGACGGTTTCGTGTTCTCCAGTTTCCGAGTCGATAACGGCGCTAGATTCCTCTGATGCCTGCACCTGAACTGGTGCAGCCTCCTGTTTTGGAGCTGGTTCATCAGCACTGTGCGATGAATGTTGGACCTCGTCTGGGCTTTCTTCAATAACAGGTGCGTCCTTCACTTCTTCTTTGCGTTCCTCTTCCATGAGGGAGGGTTCAATCTGAGCGGAGTGAAGATGAGAGACATTCAGCAAGAGGCTCACAACTGCAATGTTTCTGTACCAACTCCTGAAATTAGTTCGGCTTGGTAGTAAGTGAATTGTTTAACTTCAGCATGTGAATAACCGAAGGTTCGTTCAGGCACGAGTGAAGCAACAAAAGCAGAGAAGAGGCTAAACTCTAATTCACCAACAGAACAGCAAACTTTAAATGGAAAGAAGAGACTGACTCACACTAATGTTGACTAATTTATCCTGATCCACGTCTCCTCCGTCCCTATTACCAACGCGCACCCGTTTTGCAGGGCTTGGCATTAAATCAGGAGACCTCCTGTCCAACAAGACCTTCGCGTTACTTTCGCCAAAAGTGGATGTCTCGCGCTTTAGCGAGGGTCGAGAGATCACAAACCCGATGCCACCCTCTGCTCCTTCTACTGATTTAGAAGGTGTCACCGTCTCCTCTTTGCAGCCGGCGTTGGCTCCGGTATTTGCCGTTCTCATCGTGTGTTCAGGAGGCTCAAGTCCTTTCAGACCGTCTTCCGCATTCTTGGGTGTGCAGCACTCACTGGATCCATCTGGGTTTGAGCTCGTGGAAACAGTACTAGTGACAATTGTAGTCGATGCAGCAACATCGACGGGGGATGGAGTTGATGTAGCCATGGAAATGGTATTAACAAAGGCTTCCAATTGACCCATTGGCCTAAGCATTTGGTCAATGGGCGGAACAGTAGGTGTTGTAGGCTGAAAGTTCAGTAAAGACGTACATTTAAGCGATTGTTTCAGCTACTCATAACACCGTATAGTGGCTGCGATTGACTAAAAAAGAGCGGTACCAAATACGAATAAAGTACTTGAATGAGTTGTGTATGAGAAGGAACAAAAATAGCATTATGAGGTCAGTATTTAATGAAAACTTGGCAATTGCTGCACCACAATAGTTCGCGAATGTGCTATAAATAATCGAAATCCAAAGGACCGTCTTTCAATGAAATTTGTTTTAAAACAAATAAAAATTCTGGTTGAATGGACGTACTTTAACAGCTTCTTCACTTTCACTCTCTAAAAATATTTTCTGCATTCCGGTAAGCGATCGGGAACCTTGTGACACCCGACTATCTGATGCTACTCTAATTCGAATTTCGCCTTCCTCAATACTGGTATCTTCCAGCCCCATATCATCCACCCTTTTCTCCTCTCTCTCCTGTACTACATCGCTGATTGAATCTTCCGATTCCTCCAGAATCGGACGGAACGATGAGGACGTTCGGCTGCTCAAAAATGGCCGCTGTAATGTGTGCTTTCCGGGAATACCAGGACTGTAAGAGCCAATCAAAATCTCTTTTGAGGGTTTTTGTAGAACTTCCGACAGATTGGAAGGGGGATGCTGAGAAAGCAGAATGGAAATAAAAAGAGCACCTGTAATGGCATGAGAATGACCACACATCCGCAAGAGTGCTTACTCTTTCACTAAGGGAACGATAAAAATTGATGCACGGTCGCCTTGGTGGTGATACGGATTGTGTAGAAACCGCGTTGTCATCATCTACATCATCCTCCTCCTCATCTGAACGTTTGGTGCCAGAAGAAGAGTCTTCCACGGAACTATTAGAACCACATTCAGCAGAGGTGCCATTCAAAGTAGTTGAGGATCTCTCAATACTTGAACAGAGTCGAGGATCGACGTTGTATATTTTACTAAGGAAAAGTTGTCAAATGAAAAAGGTACGCGCGCACTTTCCATAACAATCGACTGTTGACACAACCAAGCAAACTTTCTCAAATCCACGCAAAAACTTATCTGGACGTGTGTAATGTTTGCGAGGGTCAGTTAACAGCTCGCAGATTCGCTGAATAGTGAAAGGTGTCCTGAGAGTTTAATGTTTAAGCAAGACAATACCCCTCAAACTGGTTAAGAACTTTGTAGACCCTTTCTCTAAGATCGTTTAATTCCGCATTTCGGGGTATACTTCGGCGTCCGCCTTCATCAGTGTCCTCAATAAATTCGTCCATGATATGGTTAAACTTTTGCAGAATTAAGGGCTTAATATGGAACCATGGAATGCTATACAATAAGAAAAGGACGCCATACAAAGTGAGTCCGTGCTTGGCAACTTCTCGAAGGTACTCTTCGAGGATCGGGGACGGAGCCCGATTCGCCTCGATTTCAAGATCTAGCCAGTGTCATAACGAAAAAAAATGTACTGGTTAAAGCCGATAGAATACTTTCTTTATTTTCCATATCCAGGAGTGTCATGTGTGCAGGAGACCACACAGCAACAGTAAAATTAGCAAACAACACAGAATGGTATTTAATAAACCAATAAAAATACCGGACACGAAGTCATAAAGCGTGACGCCAACTAGACAAATTAAAACATAAAATAATGCTGGGGTATAAGTGCTAAGTTTTCTTTTTTATTATTCTACATATTTAAAGGCTTATAGATGCTAAACATGATATCATGCTGTGCTGAGCTTATGAGCACTGCAGACTTTTCTACAATTGAATGATTATTCTTGCAGTGCATTTAATTGTCCGAATATTTTGGTTTATAGATACCAAGGCAGTACGCCTTAGCTATGTTTTCCAAAGGCCACATTTGTACAGTACTATGTTCACTAAGCAACTAGCAAATCTTGCCTTCCTAGCTTCATAATTTAGCAGTTTCTTTAATTGTGTTTGTTCATTCAGATTTAGAAGGCTCGATAGCATAAACATTTATTTTTATTTGTTTGAGTAAGTGTAGCGTGCGTATATCGTAATATATTATTTGAGACATTTTGCAAGGAGGCAAGCTCAGGTGAGCCTTCATTTGGCGTGTTCCTTTGTGCCTGTAATGCTTTTTATGTGCCTTCCTGACGTTCGGCGGTTACATTAGGATTTGTCTATCCCTTATACTCGTGCACTGGACTTCAGATCATGTTCGGAACTTGTTGTGTTGACCCCCTTGGGATAGATTTAGACAGCTTCCCTTACTGCCTTCTTCCGCCATGTGGGATGTCTCAGGACGCTACGGCGCTCACCCTTTAGTTCGATTTTTGGATGAGTTTGAAGGAAGTCCATGCAGTCGCCTGATACTTTCCATCGGGTGGAATAAGCAGTAAGTGTAGCTGGACACATGTATTGCATGAGGAATTAATAATTCGTCCTGTGCATGGCCCAAAGGCCAGTCCACGCGTACAAGAGCAGGCCGAATCTTAAAGCTCCTGCCAGATATCACGTGGTCACATCAAACAATGTATTAAAGTCCACATGCATAAACTGGCTTGGGATGCAACTTCAAGCCTGTCTGAGTTTCTAGCAGATGTGCCTTTGCCATTACCACGGCAGTGAAAGCAATACCCATGTTTCATTCTGTAACTCTGCTCGCACGAATGATTTCGACTACGTTTTCGTATAGATATATTCCCTTATTGAGTCAATAAACTAGAAAAAAACCGGCATTTTGGATGCTCTGTATATTTTGACGAGACTTGATGCATACGTTAGCCACTTAGACGCGTAAGTCTCTCCTATGCACTAAAAATGTCACTCACTTATAGAGCGTTTTCAGGCATGGGTTAAACAATCAGTTAGTCCTCATGAATCTAACCCGTCAGATTGACAAAGATAAACTCGTTTAACGTTGACCTTACAAAGCTGGATGCCGCAACTAAAGAGACCCATTTCCCTCCCCTCATGCAAAAGTTCTAAGAAGACTGTGAATCGAATAAATACCTTGGGTAGGCAAAAATGTGGCGTAAAGGCAAGACAAGTAGGTCCATGTAATGCTGCGATCTCCTACACACGTCTGGCACATACGATATTGATTGGTCGATTTTCCATGCCCTTTATAATCCGCTTTAATGGCAGCCTCACCTTCGGTAAGGCCATCTGAGGACACGGCTTCAACCTTAAGAATGTGGTAAACTGTTCACCCCTAAACCAAAGGAAGCACCGTTTAATTCAATCGTTTGTTCCACATCAGAACATACATTTTGGGTGTTGAGTTCCATGGCCCATGAAGGGTAAGTGAGGACTTAGTCATCACAAACAACTTGGCACCGTAGACTTAGCATTGCACCGCATAAATTAATCAAAAAAAAAAAAATAACGAAAGTTTTCAGTGCAAGAACAAGTCTTATGGACGTTTGTAAAACGAAGGCACCGTAAGATTTGCACTGCCTGCAAAATCATCGGACAGCTTAAAGGTGTGCTTGTGGTTAAGTGCCAAAGAAAAACAACCTTCCTGCCTTTGACCGGGAGGTCTCACACACCTTTATTAACAGTCACAAAATCTGTCTTAGCCTTCAAAGACCTATTGGACCTCAAGGAGGTGGTGTACAAAAGAAGGGATGTCTTCCGACTCTGCGTATGCATAGATCGTATTAAATAAAAAGGTAAAAATAAACAAATGATCTTCATTATAAAGTAGCCATGTTAAAGATAAAACAAGCAATAGACTATGCCATCCGGCCTCCTAAGTACGCAAAATAATCTAAACTAGAGAACTTTATTGAATTATGCAGGCCATGGCAATTTCTGGGGAACCAGATCGATGTCACAGGCCGTCAGTTTTCCCGTCTTGATAAAATTACATGCTCTTTTGCCTTAATTCATAAAATACCGATTTCAATTGTGCTTTATGAACAATTTTGTTGATGTATGACCACAGTTCAACAATATCTGGTGGTGATAATACATTGTACTATAATTATAAAAGTAGTTAGTAATTTAAGAATCACCAATCCTGAGTTTTGCATGGTTGCTTTTTTCGCAGGCATCGTTAGGTAATCATTTTACTTTGTTTACATATATTGACTTGATTATCACAAACAAAATCCAAAACAGAATGTTCTAAAATGTCATTAAGATATACTTCAGGGCTAACTAAATCGAACAGTGCGAATGTCATCCCCAGATGGTATTGGCATCGATCATGAGATGATAACATAGGTGGTAGAAATGGACTTACGTGGTACCTGATTAATGTATCATTAGCAAAAAAGGGGCCTTAAAAGCCCGGATGATACTGCAATACTTCGTTTGTGTGGCTGCTTTTATGCATAACGGTTGCGTTTACAAACACCCTGATCTTGTTGAGTTAAAGTCCGGAACGGTACTTGTACCGTTGGATTTCGAGCCCACAGACCGCAATTTAGATGATGTGTTTACTGGAACTATTTTATAGCCCAACAAACCGTAATTAAATGTCAGAACAAAAAATAATATGCTTGTTTTTTGGTCACGGGGAGAAAGAAATGGTAATATAGTGACATTAATAAGATAAGATTGTAAAAACGTCAAAATTGTCATCTGCCAGCTGAAAGACGCAGTCAGCACCATCAGCCGGGTCATAAAGTAGACGAGAGCCTCGATGACGCATGCCCATGGGGTTATATGACGCCTGGGATGGGGCCAAAATTCAACTATCTAATCGCTAACGCATGAAGAAGGCTTAGATTTTACAAAGTAGATTGAGACTGAGACATCAAAACCTGGGAGATCCACTGACTAGGAATGACAAAGAAACCTTCTAAACATGATGCATTTGGAAGTTGACATTCATTTAAACCGCGAGAGGTCTTTACAAGCTCACTCGTCACAAAGTGAATGCCATAATGAGAGACTCTGGCTTAGCAGGCGTCACAACGTTGCCAAGTCCACACTTCTCATGTGTCTTTTCAAAAAGGCATGCAAAAAAAATGGTTCTCATTGCACACGTGATTGGCAATGCCATTTCCTGTTGACATCTAGACTTGAGTAACCTCCTTCTATTCCGCATTTACTTTAGGGAAACCTCAACTCCTTCTCCTCGTGCATTCACTGATTCCGTAGCTGTAATAGTTTGCGGCAGGTATTGGCGTGAGGTAGCTGTCACTCAAACTCCTGTTTCTGAACCGTTTGATAAGAGCAATCTTCAGCCTTCTACACGTGGCCAGTCTTTGTGTTTATGACCTGCCGAATGGGGGCTTAAAAAGGAGTAGGAAATGGTGTTAACAATTGAAGCGAGTGACACCAGGCGTAAATCAAGTTGCAAATTTCGTTATAGAGTTGCTTGCATTGTCTCTGCGAAGGTGTCAATTAGGCGAACACACACGACTTCCACAAGTGCTCCATTAAGTGGTTGTGATTCAGGTAGGGGAATCAGAATGTGGAAGGAAGAAAAAACTGAAAAAAATCCAGACTCCACATCGATTCAGATCCACGAATCTGTATCGTGGAGACCGTGAGATGGTATTCCAATGCCCTGCGATGCCCAATTTGACGGCCTATTCGCCCGAGTTTGTTAGTAGAAGTTAGGCTTTACATAGCTCTGTGTTAACAAGAAAAGATCACTGGTTGGCTTAATAAGAAGTTTCATGATAGCTGGTATGACCTGAGATGACTTGGCACGAGGCGTGTCTCCGCAACATTAATGTGCAAAGTAGGCTTGTTGCTTAGTAGTAGACTTCGCTCCAAAGCATCGGTTTTAAGGTCAAATAGGTTAGAATAAGTTTCTCCCACAAAATGCATGTCTTCAAGTTCAATTTTGTATGAACTGACACAACTAGCAGGCCACCAGAATGAGAGGATACACCCGAGCCCTCAATGTTCCCTTTTACTCTCCCTCCAATGACCAAGCAAGCCGTCCGATTGTCTTGTTTTCAAGCAGCGAGATAACGACTTTCACAGATGATACTGTGGTAATGGTTTCCAAAATCCAGTCATTTATTCAAGATTGTTGTAAAAATAAAGCGCTTGAAAACCTTCGTCTTTAAAGAATTTTATAAACTCATTTGTTAAAATCTGTTTAGAGTGCCAGAAACCGAAGTCGTGCTGACGTAAATCAACAAAACACTGTATAATTTAATCACAATTTAAATATAAAAGGCATCCTAACCATACAATAAAGACCAATCGAAATGTGTTAGTTTGCCTTAGAATGAGAGATGGAATTGTTGAAAGGCGTCTTCCATGTGAGAACTTGAAATTCATCCACATTAAAATTGAGCGTCCATAGGCCATCGTGAGCATAATTCATCCAATAGGAGCCGGTGGTGCAAACTACATGCCAAATTAGCCCATACTTCTCATCAAGGTAGGCTTTCAATTTGGAGGTGAACATTTCCATATTCCCATGCCTTTTGCAACGTTCAAGGATTTCCACAGCTTTGGTGGTTATTTTAACCTGATCCTTAAGAAACATTCGAGTTGAAATGATAGAAACATTGCGTGGAAGCTCCATGCGTGTCTGTGTGTGAAATGAACTATGAGACACACAATAAGGTGTATCTGACCTAGTCGGTGTGGCCTTGACGGTTTGTGCCTCTAATTAGATCATCGGTGCAGATCTATCATACCACTGGTGAAGAGGGAGCACATTGTTAGGGCAATTATATAGGGTGAGGTGTCACACACGACTCAGATCCACTCTCCATTTGAGGCATAAATATAGACATTGTGTTGGTAAATTTATCTATCGCTCTTCTGTATTCAGTAATGAACAGAGTGGTGAGGATTGTTCTTCCTCAAAATGGAAAAGTAGAATATGACAAAGAAGGGTTGCGGCAACATTTAGGTCAACTGTTGAGCAGCAACATGAACAGCGATCGCGCTGGCTCAGTGGGAAGGGCTGATTTGGTCCATAGTGGCGTTTGCGAAGCGTACGATCGGAGGCGAAGAAAGTCGTTAGTTGGTCTGTTGATAACTACTTGAACTTGCTGCGGCTGTAAATGCTGTCTGCCAAGAGCTGCCATGTGAGTAAACACGCAGTGTCTCTACTATCCCTTTTCTAAGGGGACAAAATCCAGAAGGATGCGTGAGTAGAGTGTAATGTCATCGTTTTTAGGCAGTAGTCATAGGACCTCGCTTGATCTTCCGTAGGTGTTCCATTTCAGATGGAACACCTCGAATACAAGCAATTTTGGGATCAAGAAATTATATGTTCCCATTGATAATATCGTTGTCATTATTAAGTGATCTCCATATACTGTACTTGTGTTAGAAGAGGTGCTCTTAGGACCGCGTCTCTGGGTTCTAAGCTTCTTCTACCCTCAACAGGAGGCAAGGTACCTGCGTACTCGTTATCCACGAACCATCGAAATCCGTTGCAACTTCATAAGACTGACATGATCTCTATGGACAACCGTATCTATTGCTTGGGTGGCTGTTCTTTGAAAAGCGGTTATAAAGCTCACCTGCTTTCATAGGATTGGAGCTTTGAGTAGTGCTGCTGGACTCTCGTCTCTGTTTTCCTTTCCAACTGCGCATGATGCGACGGAAATATTGGGCTTGATTTAGTTATTGTTAAATCTCTTGTCGAACCCTAACGATATGAGGGGTTGTTTGTTATAGCGACTACTTCCACTTTCGGTTATGTTTTAATTGGAAATGCGATTTTTTGAGTGCCAAAGTAAAAGGCGCTGTTTAAGTATGTGCGCCTTCTTAACTTACACCAACCTAACCCACCTGCACAAGTCATACGCAATTCATTTAATTGTCTCTTTTCTCAACTTTTCTGGTGTGCTCCGTCACGTCTTCTTTGGTCATGATGGGGACTCCTGGTTCGTATATATCGCTTTGGTAATCCATTGGAAACATTTTTATAATTATCGTTGTACTTTATTTACTTAAGTAGTACGTTTAAGATATTTATGAGAAGTTAATTTAGCGATGAGAGCTAAAGCAAAATCCCTTGCCAGTTTTGGCTGCAGCTTCTCTTTCTTTGGTTTATATTTGCCTTCGCTCATACACCCACTGAAGTCTTCACAATTTTTCTCGTTTAAAACCATAATTTTGGAAACGTTTTGTGTTAATGTCATGTTCCTATGAGGTGTAAATCCTTTAAGTCTCACTTTTATGACGCAATTTTCAATTTTTATTTCCTTCCTGATTGATAAATTTTACGATTTAGTACCAGCAACGCTAAGACCCCTGATAGACGATCGGTTGGCATATGTAAACTGGCCTTAAATTATGGCTTTCCGACATTGAGAATGACTCACTGTTCTGCAGTAAAAGTGGCGCTTGATTTACTATTTGTTTTCTTTTTTTCGATTACATTAAAGTCATAGGCCAAACGAAAGTTTGTCACTTTATTCCATTATTGCTATTTTCAGCTTATTCAGTGAGACAGTTTGAACAGGAGGGCGAATTTAAAGGTGCACTGAGACCAGACAAAGTGGTTTGCATGTAGGAATACTTCACGGAAATCGTTTAACCACATAATAACGCAAATAGTAGTACTGTCATGCCGGAGAGGGTAGATTCTAAGCCGCAGGTGTCCGCCACAGTAGGTATACGTGCGACCCGATTTGGAATTGAAGGGAACAGTCGACCTCGTGTGAATATTGCATCCAATAGGCACCACGCACGAGGATGACATGCCAAACTCGTCCGAATCGTGACTCCAACCATCGCTTCAAATCACCTACCGTTTGTGCCTCGTTGAACTTTGAACGACTGTTGCTGCTCGAGGCAAGGCGGTAAATCTGGTTAATGATTTCTGACTGACGTTCAGCTGACATACTGGCCGAGATGACGCGAATTTCGGGATCCTCCAGTCCTGAGTAAGTCCGATTTCCAGAGCTACTTACTGGTGTGGCTTTGGAGCAATGTCTTTGTGTGTTTGCGAATGGAAAACAACGCTTTAACAGAATGTTAAGTGAATTGCCTCTCATAAACTCTCATCAGCCTGAAAAGTCGTTTTCATTGACGTTCATAAGCTTAAAGTGGGGCTCTTCGAGTCTTTCTCTACAGCTCTAGATGATAACGGTAGAAGGGCGGTGTTAAGGCGAGGTTGATTTGACAGCAAATTGCAGGAAACTGTGCCTGCAAAAATAATGAGCTCTAGGGCAATTTAGCCAGTATGCTACCTTACTTCTGTGAAACGTTCATCAATATTTAAACTTTTATAAATTTATAATCAGCTGGACGTGAAAAGCGAGAATTTTTGCATTGTTAACGCAATTGACACAGAGCTTTATATTCGTCTTCAACGCTTACACAGCACTCATATGTACGAGGTGTCCGTAAACGCAAAAGTTAAGTTTCATCCATTGACATGGCAACGTTAGTAGGGATACATTAAAGGGGCATCTTACTTGTCATCGTCAAGCAGGCCAAGTTTTTCCCGATACACCTTCATAGTTATAAAGTCGCCTTCCGAGGTCTCAAACAGCTTCATCCATGACTAGACGAAGTGAAAACAAATTTTTTTTCAGTTTTCAACCCTTTGGTAAGCTAATGATACAAAAAAAATAAAAGTGAACGGGTCGATTATCCATGGCGTCCTACTTACAATATTTGTAAGTAGCATGGACAATACAAACACAAATTTGAATGTGTTGAAATTTTCCTTTTTCCCTTGCACGTATGAGCATATTTGGAAGTCGTATTCTTTTTTTCGCTTTTTAGGGCACCCATCAAAATCTGTCAAGTAAAATTTAAGCCAGTAAGATCGCAATTTTGGCTTGCTCATATTGACACGTTTTTTATGCTTGATAAAAGCCAATGTTTACTCCTATGACCTGGCAGCGGATTTTACAACCTGCTTTATTTACCTTTTAATGAGGATGGGGTTCCTTCTAGAAAGTGATTCGTCTGTTTTTGCTCCTGCGAGCCTTCAAAACTGAACTCACAAGGTGTGCATTAAAGGACAAAACTTTTGTCAAACCTCCATAATGTCCAAATCACAACGTCCAATTCTGGGCATTTGAAGAGCTTACTTGTCATTAAATTGAAAAGACGGCTTCAACTCACTGCAGTTGATGCAATGGGTGGAGTTAGTGGTTGGACGTTTTGTTGGAAGTAGGTACAAGCACAATAAAGGCATTTCAAGTAAAAGGGTTCGAAAATGAAGTAGAGAGTTGGTAAACTAACCCGCACGAGTGTGTCATCCTCAATGTCGTTTCTCCGTACGAAGTTCTCCAAATCAGTTCGACTTATGATGCCATCGCTGTCGGTGTCAATCTCGTGAAAGGCTTGAGTAAATGGATCTACTTCAACCAAGTTGGGAGTATTTCCACCACAATGGTGCATCGCTACCGAGGGAGGTGAAACCAGCGGTTACGCGGTCGCAGGCCGGCGTTGAAAAATTGTGACGACGGTGTCGACAAATGCGCAGGTAATGGTCCACTTTGGCCTCATCGTGCCCCCCAAAGGTCACTTTGGTTTAGCACCATGAGCAAATGGGAGGCCAAATGAATAAATTTTTTTGCGCATCGAAAACGTGTTTGCTATGTGATAAAAGAGCTCCTCAAGTAGAGGGGCTTAAGCAAACTAGCAAGGGTCTTCATCGTTTAAATTTCCGGCCTGGTTGGCCTCTTAACTGGTACGGTGGGTGTGTTGAGGGATGTGCCGTAGGTGGAGTTAGAAAGAAGGTGGTGGCTACATTACAACTCTCCTCTTCGACTGCTTTTACGATTTTGCGGTCGCCTTAATGTTCATCTTGCTCTGGGCTGTCTTTGAATCACATCATTGTTTTCAACTTCTACTCCTATCCTACTTTCAGTCATATTTTCCCATGGGGAAATCTTTGGTGCTCTCCGCACTCGAAGCAGGTTTCTACTCCAACTCGTACAAGGTTTGCGATGTTGTGAGAGGAGCTTGCGAGATAGATGTGCCAGTCATCGGCACCTACGTAGCGTACATTACACTCATCAGCTTCAAATGGACCTGCAGTTGCATTCGGCCTGGAGGGAGGAACTAGAGCCGGAAAGTTCCGTTGACCATCAATCTTCTTCTCGATTAGACTTCCGGATGGTAGTTTTAGGCGGACGCATTATAGGGTAAACGGGACCAAACATGGTCGTTCACGTAATGTGGTTTAGCCTCTTGCCGCTGTCGGAATCTATGCCCGGCTGCGGGAAGATGAAGTATTTAATAGCATGTCAGTAGGAGACGTATAAGAGGAAGACGCTGAATGACGACGTCGTTCCCAGTCCTGATGTGGTGAGGTCAAAGGTTCTCCCGCTAGAGGTATGTCCTTCAAATACATCGCAGAAAATTGTCACTTAGATTCGTTTTCTGCTTCCCTCAGCGTAACTTCTCGATACTTCTTCTTCGGCAGTAGAGGACCTTAAGCATGACTAAAGACTTATGTTCAGACAGGCAGTTACATGAGCTAAAAAATAGCCCACATGACAAAAGCAAGATAGCTGCTAGATTGCCAGGTGGTCACTTTGTTAGTTACCTTGCTATTATTTGCGTGATTCGAGCTAAAGCATTAGCCCAGCTCTACTTGTACTTCTATGTTTAAGCTGCCCATGTTGAGGAGAGGGGAATAGTTAAATGGGACACCAATTTTTGTGGCTGATAAAACGCGATGGTTCTTCCGCAGAGTGGCGCTAGGCAATCTTCATGTCATTTCTGTTTCCCTTATCCGTTCTGTAAAGGACGCTTAATAAACACTCACTTTAAAGAATCATCCTATGAAGCCAGAGTTTCAGAAGCCTTAGAGTTGATAGGGAAGCACTACACTAGTTAGAGTCATGAGGACGCTGTAATTTTATTTCATATCTCCAAAAATAGGAATAACTTAAAAACGAGAGTGAATTCCTTATTACACGTAATCACCACGGCCATTCGGGGTGCAAGATTCTTTCGCCGACGCAAGCAGAGCTAACATTTAGTTTATGCAAAACTATGTCTAATTTTCGATATCCGGTCACGATGGTCATGATGCATAAAGCAACTGCGATCAAGGACTACGCATTAAAGTCCTGACGGCAGTGTCGACACGTTTCCGATATCTGAGCATATGCATTACATTGATCAAACAGTAAGCATGTTATTTATTTGGTTTTAATTTAATTTTTTTCATGAGCCTTTAAGTAATTTGTAAGGCTATATGTGGACCAATAATTGTTTTATCCTTCTACGAAATCCGCAAAGGCTCGATTTTGTGTATGCTTGGGTGCGTTCGGTAGTGCTTTGCTTTCTCATGCATTGATTGTATTCCTGTTACGATTTTGTTACCACTTTACACTAAACGATATAAAAGTTTTTTACTTTGGATTTTATCTAGAGAATCAATCTAGTAACTTGAGTGTCAGATCCTGCAAGCATTCTAAATCTGCTGCTAAAGAATACATGTCCGAAACCAATGGTCAGTGTCGCAAAATGGAGGGTCTAGAAGACAGAAACCTTTTACCTTATGGTGAAGTGTTGTGCCCGTGCCAGTTTGACAGGCCAGTTTGCTCTCTTAAGTGTCAGCAAGCAAGTAAATTTTCCTTTTACGTTTACGATTGTTAATGTCAGAAACATTTAGCTTTCCAGACACATGCGCGCGTTGTATTGATCGGCTCCATGCAGTACTACATGCGTCAGTCAGCGTAGGTCCCGGTTTTTTGGCCCAGCCATTGTAAAGCTCTTTATAGGAGTTATCGGTTTTACGTATAGAAAATACAGAACTGAAACAGCTACTGGAATCAAAAAAGAAGGCGATTTCCATCTTTCAAAAACAAGTAATGCCCTTTTTCTAGTGGGTTATATTGTTTTAAATCCGTTTGCTGCTAATTACGTGCCATTTCTTTTTCCTGCCCAGTTGAATGCAGTCAAGTCAAATGATAGCACTGACTCCGGAGCGTGTAATTTCCATGACCTTGGTTTGAAAAAGGTTTGTAGAACGATTTACTTGCCAAATTTTTACGCATATGGCCGTTATTTTAATTGGCAATTTAGGAGAATGAACGCTTATCAAGTGAACTTGCACTCGCAAGAGGTAGATTAGACAGTATGAAACTTGCTTGGGAAGACTGCTTTAAACGGTAGGAAGTGTCAAATTTATTTGCATTGTCTTCTGGATGCGTCTTTTAAGCACTCAACTTCAATACATTTTAACTAAGGGGGGGTAGGAATCTCTTTATCTTATGCCATTAGATTTGCTTTACCACTTAGTTTAAAGAACGAAAATGACAAGCTGCGCAAAACCATTTCTGAGCTACAATTAGCTCTAAAGGATTCCAAAACAGATCTTTTGAGTAAGTTTTTTTGGCATGCACGCATCATGGGTTTTATCATGAATTTATTTACGAGAAGTAGTAAAAACGATGATTAACTGCATTGAAATTATTGGTTTATTTAAAAATGTAAGGAATTAAGAATTAAATTTAACTATTTCACCTAGATGTTGACCCTACTCAGTAAATCGTGTTGCTGACTCACTTATGGTTGCACTTGATTTCGTGTGTCAACATTTTAGGTGTGTTAAGGCATGGTAACAGGCATACTACAAAATAGAGGGCTTGGTACCAAGCACAACTCATGTTTCGTCAAAATGCTTCACGCATAGGAAAAGTCACGTTTACGGCAGTCGCTGTTGCGAAACACTGAACTCATGATGTGGGTTGACTCACACTGATTACGGTTTTTTGGAGGAGTAGTTGATTTGCTGGTTAACACATGCGCATTTTTCCCAGAATTCTGGGCAGATACTCATTCTGTTTGCTTCTAGTTTTTTTTTGAGCAATGCAGCTGCTTTCCTCAATGCTTAATGCAAATTTGTTATTTAAAAAGATTGAATTTTAATCAATCCATTTCACGAGTGTTAGCAACTACGAAAAATTGTGTTTTATTAATTCATTTCTCAAGATAAATCTGAAGCTGGCTCTTCAGGCTCGAAACAGTTAAATACTCCCTCAAAGTTGTCTCAGGGAGGTAAAGGAGGCGCTGACTTACCGTTTGAGAGGCTGACAGACGAATCTTTCAAGTGCAGGTGTTCTCATTTACGTCAGGTGGAGGATCTCAAAAAACGCATTGAAGAGCTACAAGCAAATGTAAAGCGCACTTTATTTAACGATCCTATTGCCTTCAAAAATAGACAGAACATTTCCTTATTTGCGTGCTTTTATGCCTTGCAGTTTTATTCGTGGGCGAATATCGCCACATTAACATTGTAGGAGGAGAGTCAACGCAATCGTGCAGATGATCTGAGTATCTCCTTAGAGGCATACAAAATGGCTCTTGAAAAACAATTCAAGGAAAACAGAAAGTTCATCAAGCACGTTTCAGCACTGTTGGAAAGTTCATCCACAGTTGAAGAAGGTACAGCGTCTTCTTCATTCCTTACGCACGAATTCTACAAATCCTACGTACATTTTTTTTTCAACACTACAATGCCTTAACGGTTGTTGCCTTTGGACAAATCAGTCGCCCAGTGCAGTATTTTGGGGATGAATCCCTATTTCGTTTGCTGCTTCACCCGATGGTGGGGAGTTGTTGCACAAACAGTATCTCATTAGTCATAAGCCACTTGTAAAAGCAGAAAATTTGCAAAAACGTATTTATTGAGTAGGCATTAAAATGTGGCGGCAATCCACGAGGCGTTTTTATTCTCATAGGTGTCATTATCAAGGTTTATGGGAGGGGAAAACTGTGCAGAGCAGGAAAATGACATGTCTTGTTTAGCTGGAATTGATGTTTTCAGTGAGATTGCTTTTTTTATGCTTTCTTTCATGACTTCTCTGGAAGTTGGTTTGATTGCGAACACTGAACACTCAGCATGACTGGCTGTTGACGGCGTTTGTGCGTGATTGTGCTCACTTTTAGCGAAATCCCCAGAAACTTTGCATTCTGCTGTATGCAAGGAGTTGGCACAGTGGATTGAGCAGGCACTGAAGTCCGCAGTGCATGCCAGTGGTAATCGTATTCAAATAAACAACGGCGATTCTCCCTCAAGCAGTGAGGTCTTCTCTCCCGCATCCTCGCCCTCTTTAACGCCTCCGCATTCGCCTTCCAATGACACTCTTCCTGTGGAAAGGCAGTATCGTCGGCACCCAGTAAACAGTCGGGTAAGTTAGTCTTTTCCACTTGCCAGTCAGCTTTATTTGTTCCCCTCTAAAGTCATTAAATTTGTATCCCCGAAGGCAAAACTTTTGATTTCTAGTTTAATCACCTTAACCTGACTGACTGTGGGTCAGTGAAGTGGTCACATCGCTTGCGAGGAGTTTTGTTGATCTCGGTGCTAAAACATTGAATGAATAGTTTGTCAAGGTGGGAAGGAGTGAGCATCCGGTACAAAGTTCTATTGATGCCTTGGT